CCTCACAGTGCCTTCTCCTCATACCAAAACTCAAACACACATTGAAATCTACCTCTACCTCACATGTCAAGAAGCTCACTCCCCATCATTTTCTATCCTTAATTTCATTCTGTTGATGTATGATTGTGCACATCTGATGTTGTTCTGCACATTACCTGTTACCTGTTGTTGTTTTGCACGTTGCCCGTTGTCTATGTCTTTCTTTTCTTATACAATTGTATTGTTGTTGTTTTTTGCACTGCTTACCATTTGAGAGCTAGCTAAATAGCATTTCGTTATACCATATACCCGTATATGAGTATAATGACAGTAAACTTGAACTTGAACTTTAGCTTTATGTTTTGCAACAATGCTTCTGAAACAGTTATTCTTTCTATATTTTAGCCTTAGTTCACAAAGTCTTTAGCAGTGAAATTAATTTTCATGTAAAAGTCTCTGATGGAGGTCAGACACTCAGTTGAAACGCCATCATTGTGATCTCATCTGTGAACTCAACTGTGATTTCTTGCAGCTGAAGCAAAGCTTTTGATGTGAACCAAGCATTTTTTGTGTTGCTTGACTACTTTCATTTTTGGCTGTACCTCAGCTTCTTTATTGTTGGTTGAACACAGCACCGTTTTGTGAGTCAGCCTAAATAAAATAAAAAAGATCCGAATTATTTGTTATAAACAAAACCATCAAAAGCAAACAAAGCACTTCATTGTGCTTCATTAGTGCACAAAAAAACATTAAACACCAGTCAGTGAAAGATCAAGCACCTGATAAAATCATCTGCTATTTTAGAACCATCAGTTTTATTGTAATATTTTAAGGGGAATTTATCGGGAACTGTATTCTAAATAACACCAGGAAAATAAAAATATTTAAATATTAATAAAACATTTCTAAAATACTGCTTTGGGGGATAATAATTGAATTGTAAGCCAGAATCATTTACTAGATCCTTGGACTATGATAATAGAAACAAAGGGGTGAGGTGTCAGCATTTTCAGAGAACCCAGTTGCAAAAGTGAGTTCGGGAAATGCTGTATACTGATCACCACATGCCACGCATGCTGACTGATACCACACAGACTTTGGATTCAGCTCGGAAATCTATTCCATTACATAACTAACATAGCAGGTGTGAGCCTAGCAGAATGATCTGGGGTCCAGTGGGTTTCTTTTGCTTGTATCATCATTCGTCACCACTGTTTTGGCGACGCTTATAAGCAAGCCCATCTTCATGAATCATCTTGCTTTGGTAACCATATTACTTTATACAACACCTGCACACAGTCCGACAGCTCCGCTAATGCAAGCTAATGTAATCCCACACCGTCAGAGTGTCACATGACTGAGTGAGTGTTCAACTATAGGGGAGTAGGGCTGGTGGCAGGTGGGGGGGTTCCAATGAGCAAGCATTACTAAACAACTCCAGTGGGATAATGGGAAATCTATTTAAAGAAACAGTGGCTACAGTTACTTGCAATCAATGCCTAACTCCATCATTCCAGTACTCTACCCAAGTGTTCCATAATTATATACAACAGACTAGCAGGAAGAAGAGTCCATAAAACTGTAATCATTAATTGTATTTCTTTAGTGATATCTTTGATAAAGATATCTACCTTTTAGGGGGTTTTCAAAGGAAATACTGCATACCCTCATCACACAGTATGTTAAATTAAAAAGGATACATAGATCCCTCAACCTCAGTGACTGTTTTCTTTCACTTCCCATTCCCCTCTCAAAATTATTCTGTCTTCTGTAATCATTTCTCTTTTATTGAGGGGACAGTAATATCCATGCCTTTCCTAACTGCTTCTTCCAGTTCAGGGCCACGAGGAAGCCAGGGCCTATCCCAGCAAGCAGTGGTCAAGAGGCAGGGTAGACTCTGGACAGCCCACCAATCCGTCGCAGGGCACACACAAACATACACCCACACCTGGGCTGTGGGGGGAAACAGGGGCACCCAAAGGAAACCCACATGAACATGGGGAGAACATACTGTATAAAGTCCACGCAGACAACACGCCAGGGTCAGAACTGAACCCAGGGCACAGGGCTAGGAGGCAGTGAAGCTCAACACTACCAAACTGTCCACACTGTGATATAACAACAGAAACCCATTAGGAATTTGAAGTTCAGATACTTGAAGTCTGGGAAGCCAAACTTTCTTTGCCGGACAGATCAGTATCAAATCTCGCTTACATACATTTTACAGAGAATGGAAATTCGGCAACATGACTGTCAACAGTTAAACATGAAAGACATTAAAGTGCATCTGCATGAGGTATTTTTAAAAGACAGGTGGCAGATATTTTAGGAATGCTCCCGATTTTTGTCAAGATCCCCCATTCAAGAGCGTGTGTGGGGCTGTTGTTCTGTGTTTGTAGCCATAGTAACAGGCCACCATGCCCACTGACACCGCATACTGTAGATAGACTCAGCTGTAGCTCATGCATCCAAATGTCTGATACCAAAGCCATCCAGGTCAATACATTTACTTAAACAAGCAAGTGACTATTTATAAGACTGCGTGAACCTGAAAGTGATCATGTTCTAATTACAGTTTAACTGTCACTTTAAAGTGCAATCCACAAACTAAATGTTCATTTTATAAGTTATTTTTACACCAATAAGTATGATTAAAGCAGAGTCCTACAAACACAGAGCTTGGTTTAACTAGGCCAAAAAGCATTTTTTTCTCATCTGTCAAAATCCTGGATTACAGGTTAAACTCTCCATGCGAAGTCAAAATAAAGTAAATCTATACTATATATAGCAGTTTCTATTACAGGCTATATAATATTGATCACATTTATTATATGCCGACTAATGTCTTAGCTCAATTCTGAGGAAGCACCCATGCTATTTTGAGAAGCCCATTTCACAGATAATGAAACCGAAAAAAAAAATAGCGGTTGAAAGTGATCACATCAGCATATTTATCGTTTGAGGCTGGCATGGAAAATCTGCTAAACGTGGCATGGGCCAGGCTCTAATTTATTTTTCATGAAGTGCAAATAGAAACTCTGGAAGTATCATGTAGCATGAGCGAGTCAGCTTGCTGGAGAAGCTCCGTTAAAAGTTCTGTTGACCAAAAGCGCGTAGGAAAATCAATACAATATACTTTACATCGATCAGCACCAACGAAGTTAAAAATAGCTTGCAGTCCCCGATTAATGGGGCGAAGACGTGTGACTACGACTAACCATATTTACTAACTTCCTTCAGTATCTTATCGTGAAAATGGACAGATTCAGATTTGAGCTTTTTATTGTTGGGAATTTGTAGAGTTACTGAACGGATTAGTGATTGTAAGACAAAAGAAAATACAAATCCAGAAGTGATAAATGATGAGTGATTTTGTGCAGGTGTCACTTCAATAGGTACTTGACTGAACTCTTGTGTGCAATTTTACAATGAACCTCCACCCCCAATTACATTTTCAGTTAACAATTAACAGACAGCAGATCTTGAAGGCTTCTGGTTGTTTTTCTCTATTATTGTATAATCTGCATAGGTACTAATGCTATAGTTAATGCAATCACGTAAGAATAAACTCCGAGAATAATTAAATGGTCTTTCAGTTAGAAGTCTAACATTACGTAAAACACATTATCCTAGTAAAATGGTCATCTTGAGATCTATAGAGCTGTACCAGTTCACCCCAGCTGCTGAATATATTGTTATATCGCACCTTCCTTGTATCAGTTAAGTTTTATGTTTTTAACCTACTGTATACCTTAATTTATCAGTGGTTATCATTACTGGCCCTGGGGTCATGGGGGACAAAATCTTAATTGGTGTCATTTTTGGACATTCTTATAAGGCACTTATAATACTGTATGCGTCTATTTTCGAGTTTTAACACTCTTCCCAAACTTTCCTATCTGCAATGTAAGTATCTGGATATACGGACATTGCTCATAGTGCAATACATGGTCTTTTTCGCCGATGTCTATTCATCTTAAAATGATCACCTATGAAGAGACGTTTAAACAGAAAGCAATTGAAGGCTGCAGACGTTGCTTTGATGCTTTAAACAGAATATTTTTGCAACTGGTAACTGAGCTCAGAAGCCAGTAAAGCAAAAGTCTAAGCAAGATCAATTAAGACATCAAAAAACAGCCAACAAAGTAGTTCTCTGGGTTAGGACAAGGACTGGGGTAGAATAGTTTTATCTCCAGTTAAAGTGATTTGAAATCATTAACAGAAATTAAGATTACATGTCTTTGTCTGTTTATTTTGGGAGGTTTTAAGTGTTTTGGATTAACAAACATTAGAGCTTGCAAAAATTGGTCATTGAAGACGGTAAATTATAAAGTCTTGTAACATGCTATTTCGTATTCCTGTTGCATAGATATCTTGAAATAAGCTTCTTTTCAAAATAGGTATTAATGAATGTGATTGTGACACTTTCCCATATGTACTGGAAAAGGCTGCCCTCTTGTGGGTAATATTTTAACTAAATGTGCTTCAAAATTGTTTAGTCCAGAAATTCTTGAATGATCATTTACAATACAGTACTCACATTTTCACTTAGCTTTTTTGCTACTGTGAAGGAAGGTCGTTAGATTGCTAGCTTTGCCCTAGGCTTGTACCCCATTATCCCCGAACTGAGAAAAATTTGAAAGATAATACCTGCATTTATTAGGTCAGAAGACAAATGTTAAGCTTAATATTTAAGCTCAAGATTTAATTTAACACATACATTGCAATGCACTTTGAACAAATAAGATAGGAATGTCTATTTTATTCTAATTAAGCATTAAGAATGTGTTAAAAATGATAACTATTGGATTTAAGGTTCACTATAACATTTAACATTCTTAAAATTCATTATGAGTTTGGTGTAAGAGTTTGGCAACTTAACTGCCCAATACAAATATTCTAATTGCATCGCATGCATGTTAACCTTTGTTTCTATAATACAAAGTCTAATCAAATATGGAAATTAATTTAAAATATTTTCAAAGCAATGTGCATTGTTTCAAAACAATGAGAAAGACAGCATAGTTTGAAAAATATCTTTACTTAGTTACACAGAAGTAAAACAGTTACAATTCACAGAGATGTACAAGACATCTGAAAAGGCTAAGGAATAGTAAAACATTTGATAAAAAAAAAACATTTTAAAAGGTAAAAACCTAAAATTAGTACACCAAAGGAAACTTTTAATCTTATATCCAACACAACATCCCATGTTTTAATTATCTTTTAAATTATGCCAATGGGTTTAATACAGTGCAAAAGAATAGTAATAGATAAGAAAGAAAGAAACATGTTTATGCAGAAATATCTGAATAACACAAGTACCAGATATTTTAGATTTCTGAATGAAGTATTGCCCATTTAGGTAAGTTCTAACAAATTTAAAAAATATTCATAAAAAATACTTAAAATCTTGACACAACACAAATGAAAGCTATACAAACACTTCATCTTTGTATTTCCCCCCTGATGCTTTGAAACCTGTGGGGGCACACACTTTTGATGGTGGTAAAACCAGTTGACATGAAGAGCAACTGCTATAGGTTTGGTGCAAAACTGTCCAAGAGACACCCACTCCTCTTCTACAGTAGGGTACACATTATATGGAATTTGGCATGCAATGTAGCATGTCAGAAAGCTAAAAACATTCAAGAGGTAAAAACTGGCAATGTGCAAGTTTGGCATCATATATAGTGACAAAGTAGCATAGCTATACAATACATAATCAGGGCACTGCTCTTTAAGGGCAAATATTATATAACCCATAACTGCAGATTTTTTTATCGCTCGGGTTAATATTAAATATTATTTGCAGCAGTTTAAATCTCTTCACAGTTAAATTTTAATGGGGTGCACTGTGTAGCATACAGCTGGCGTTTGGGTTTTATTTGGTTCAGACACACTTTCGGGAGAAAGGTTCTTTTTCAGCAGATGTCTTTGCCAGCTGCCAACAGCCCTGTATAAGGAGGCTTTATAAGTCACCTGGTCCTTCTTTAAGACAGAGACTTTATTACATTAAAAACATGGGATACAGGTGGTGTGCCACAATTTGTTCTGAAATATTCCTCCACCTATACTGCAATGTAATACAAATCTTAAAAGGAAAACCATCAGGACAGAGAATTATCAAACTGACCTTAACACCAGGCACTGGAAGGGATGTCTAGTGTCCTTCTTACATTTCCACTTCTTTGAATGCTGGACACAGTCAAGGTACAGTCTACCTTCTGGAAAAGAGGCCTGAAGACCGTTAATAGAAAACTGCACGGGTACCACTGCAGGAGTAAAAAAAAAAAATAACTGTAAAATTATGACAGGCAAGAATCTCAGGACCATCTATGACAAACACCCAATCTCCCAAAACCAAGTAAAAACAAAGACATCTTGTTACTACAGGCCCCATTAAATCTAGGGAATTCCCATCTATCGAACAGCCAGCAAAAATGACCCAGGAGAAGCTCAGCTGCCGTGACCCTCGTGCCGCTTGAAGAGGTCGGAGTTAAAGTAAACGACTGTAACGGTGATGTCGTCCCTGTACATTCTGGCCAGGTCTTCGGGCAGGCTCAGGATGGTTGCCAGCCGCTCCTGGTCCATTTCCCCGTACTCATTGGTGCCGACGGCATGGCGGATGAGGCGCGTGGCGGCGTTGAGATCGAGCGAGGGGACGGCCTTGGCCCTGCGTTTCAGCAGCAGGCTCTGCATCTGCCCCAGGTTTATCTGCCGGTCACCGACTGCCACCCGCTCCTGGAACTGGACCCCCGTTAAGTGCTCAGCCACCAGCTTCACCGCTTCATCGCTACTCATCATGTCCCACAGGCCGTCGGAGGCCAAGATGAGAAATTTGTCTTTGGGCCTCAATCGGTGGTACAGGACCTCCGGTGTCACTTCCAAGTACGGAGGTGTGAGATAATTAGGCGGTGTGTAATGGTAGATATTGAGGGATTCCAGATCATAGCCATTTTCCAAGATGCTCTCCTGAAGATCTTTACTCCATTTGAACCGGACGTCCCCAAAAGCCCTGAAAGGCATCAGGAGACCTAGTAGCCTGTCATCCATCACCACAGAGTTCTCTTCCGACTTGGGGTGCTGCGATCTCACCCGCGCTAGCTCGGCTTCGTTGAGGGCGTTGTGATCGTAGGAAAGCGGGAGGGAAGACCAGCTTCCATCTTCCTCTTGGACCCCCAGGACGGCCCGACTGTCCCCTGTATTGGCCACATGTATGCCTTCAGCGTCCACGTGAGCCACACAGGCGGTGGAGCCAGCAAACGCCACCTGGATGGCGGTGTTCTTCATCAGGTCATTGTCCAGTGGCACCTGCGCTTCCAGGGAAATATCAGAGTCCAGCCTCTTGAAGGCATACTCCAAGGCATCTTTTGTGCCAAGGCCCTCACCATGATCATTACTTAGAAGCTCCTGCCAGAAGACCCTGAGGTGGTCTACGTAGAGAGAAGCAGAATCCCTGTAATTATGATCATTGGGGTGCTTGTACCACTGCAGAATGGGCAGTACTGGCTTCAGGTTCTCCATAGCGCTCTCGATCTCCTGGAGGTCCTTCTCCGACATGAGGGCCACAGCAATGTAGTACAGGAGCCGCTCGCTTACCGCTTGTGCGCAGGAGTAACCGCCGTGGCCGTCAAAGACCCCAAACATCATTCCCTTGGTCTGCAGGCAGGTGGCGGCACTACGGCGGTCTTCAATGGGAGAGTTGGCGGGGAGCTGGTTACTTTCAAATCTGAGCACTGAGCTGACACCCTTCCCATCAAATTCGGGGATTCGGGTAGACTGTTCGTTGGCTCGGAGGACGTTGTTGATCTGCACTGGAGAGAGCTGGAACTGAAGCACCTCCTGGGTGGACGAGTTCCGGACGGAATGGCGTGAGTTGAAGATGCCACGTTTGGCGTCCTTCTGCGAGAAGCAGCTCAGCAGGCTTCTTCTTCTCCATCTGCCTGCAGTGTGGTCAGGGCAGCAACATGTGGAACACAGTCTGCGCTGACCACGGAGGTAGACGGCACGACTCTTCACACACTGCAGGATCCAGCAGGACACACTATTTGACATCTCTGTCCCTGTGACAGGGTGCAGCAGGCCAAGAATTTTTCTTAATGTATCCTTTTTCACAGCTACGTTTATACCTATACCCCAACCAACCTAAGAAGAAGAAAAAAAATGTCTAAAATAATTTACACAAATCTCTAACCCAGACACATTAACAGATGTATACAAGATTTCTGTTTTGTTTGCATGCAGTATTTGAGCCATGTCTATCAGATTAAAAGGACAGCAGCTGGATACTCTCTAGGCTGTCTGGTATTAAAGCTTCAGTTTGCTACCAAGGGCTCTAATGCTTTTGCTTGACCCTGGATTGTGTACCTGTAATACTTTCTGATGTATGATTTTTCCTCCACGTATTAACAACTTGATTTAAAATGTGTTTGTTGGAAATGCCACCTATAGTCAATGTTTTAAATTGCACTCTCAAGTAATTCATTTGGATGTAGTACTTTAACGCAGCCAGACAGTTTTAAAAACTAAAATCCCTAAAAAAAAAACAATACTGTGATAACATGCAGGCCTTTCAACAGAGATCTCAAAACACATTCAAGAACATTGGAGTCCTACATAACAAGCAAAACAGTGCAAAACAGCAGTAGCAATGGTTAAATGTACAAACAAGATTATATAATTAATCGTAACCTTTATGTAACGATTACAGTTGTTGGGTTGCTTAGTTTACGGAAGCAATTTATTTCGACTAAGCGCGGTTCTTTCATTTACTAACGGCAAAGTAGAAAAAGAAAACATTATTCAGCTGTTGCAATAAAGTCTTCTTATAATAACGAAAAAAAAATGGTTGAATCTAAGCACACGAAAAAAACAAACATAAGAACCAACTTGGCACACTGCGCTCCAAATACCAAGCTATAATTTAACATTGCTGTTTTAAATAAGATGCATTTTGCAAATGTAATATTTGTATGAAAGGCCAGCGAAACACAGCATATTTAACTACCCTTACCTATCACAGACCGCCGAAAAGCAACTCCATCCCCAGCCAATTCTCCCACTTCCTCTCTAGTGCACGCCACTATATTGAAAAGGACCACCCCTTTGCCTTTTCCTGTGATTGGGCGACACCATATTCGTCTTTCTGAGATTGTCATCTGTGATTGGTGTGCTCCGATTGTCAGACGGAGCCTTTCTAATTCATTGCTTGGACCCATCATGTCCGAAATCACCCCAGACGTGACTTTTGTAAGACGCCACTGGTTGCCACCGACCGGTGCAACTGGTTCTCGGTTTTTGCTGGGTGCTGTGGAGGACAAATACCATTTTGTGTTGTTTGCATTGTTTGAGCTCTTTGTCCGTAGGAAAGCAAGATTAAATACTCTTGCAGCGAGCGAAAAACCCTCGAGTAGCCCTGTGAAAGTGGCAATACTACTGTATATCCCAGGCTCGAAGTCATTAGGAGTCTCATATTTAAGTTAGTCATCTACGTTTAAAAATATTTTTTTCTCTCTATTACTTGAAGAATATTGAATACTGAACCTCGCTTATTGCTATTGAGTTGTAGTCTGTCCAAACATAATTATTGGTTGCAGCTTTACAGCTCGTGAAATGTATTTAAAGATGCGAGGTGAAGTCTTTGAAAGCAATGTGTTCTACAGTACATATATACCGTTCCCACATCATAACACACTATTTGTAAATGCCATGTAAATAAGTCTCCAAAACGACGAGTGTGCAGTATACGTGTAAATCTGTCAGAAATCAGAAATAACCAATAATTACAATAATTGTCTTTTACAGCGTCTTCCACAACTTTAATATTCTTTGTGGAATACTGTGTGAACAGATTTTCACTTTTCCTTTCCTTTCCCTTACTCTACACATACTGTACATCTACTTTTTTTTTAAAATAGTGCATGATATTAAATAAGCCCCCACTTTCTGAGCTCTAGGATTTGTTACTGAACTGAACCCAGTACAGAAGGTATTCCCCTTGCTTCAACATAGAGATTTTTTCAGCTTTCGAGAAGTAGTATTAAGTATAAAGTAGTATTTTCAGTATTAAGTAGTTCATATTAATCCACTCAGCCACATACCAGATATTAACAGTGTGAATTTATGTTTGTGAATATATATACACAGAAATCCTCTGTATTAAAAACCCACAATTATCTCCTTTACAGCTTCCATCTCTTTCCAACCCAAGCATAGTTAAAGCTCTCATCAATTTTCACAGTTCCTCCAATGAGCTATGAGACAGGCGTTAAAGACAAAGCCCTTGAAGTGTCTGTTTGCATTGACGGGGAGTTTTCCGCTCACTGCCCCCACCGGAGCCCAACTCATCCCTCGGAATATCCGCCCCGTGAGGACCTCCTGCACCTGGGATGGCATTCCGCATGTCTTTCCATTCCATCCTTTGTATTCCAAGGAGAACTCACTGCCTCTGTGTTACAAGATGAAGCTTCACCCACCAGACCCACCAGCCATTTCAGACCTGCCAGGTCGACAAACATGAATCTATACAGCCTACTTGTCTGCACTGCTCTTTACTAACCACAGGACTCTCTTTTTACTATGATGGAAGCTGCTGTCTCACCAACCAACACATATCACAGAGGCAGCTGTATCACAACAGCGCACATATACAAGGCACCTCTGACAATGTCAAGATCACCCAGAGAGCATCATGTTTGTCCAGCGGTCTCATTTATTGTGCCCTGGATGTCCAAACTTTTCTTTGTTCTTTATTTTTCTGCCGATTACATCTTGTCTCGAAGGTATTGGATGTCTCCGTGAATCATTGCTGAAATATCTTGAGCGGACTTTAGCCATTAATTATATCAGTCTGATTCAGCCCTTAAAACTGTGATCCACCTACAATTTCAGCACTCATGATGTTAGAGAAGAGAGTGCCATTAAATGATTGAGTTTACAGAATTTTGTTATTTCTGACTGCCTGCAGAAAAACAATATAGCTGCCAACTACATTATCACTATCCATGAACTACTGAAGCATCACCTTTTTTTCGAAAACACGCTTAACATTAATTAAATTATGTGCTAGGACCGTGTGTACTTTTAAGGCAGCTGAGTGGACTGAGTACATTCACTGTTGTTGAGCAACTCTTGTTATGGTGATAATGGGGTCATGTGAACAGTTGTAAATCTTTCAAAGAGAGAGAGAGAGAGTACACAAAGTCCCATGGGCTACTGTCTGAGGGACATCTTTACAGGTAGATTTTTGTTAGCAGGGAAACCAATGAGCCTTGGATTAATGGCTGAATGGAACTTTCCAGTTAGGAATATTCACAACACAATACATGCATGGTAAGCAATTTGAGATTGATGCCTGTTGTTTCCAGGAAACAAGGCAGATAAACAATATTTTTACATTTCCTAATTTTGTACATAGTACATTCCTGATACAGCTTCCTTCTTGGGAACGTCAGTGGTTCCAAATTTGTTTTATTTATTGTAGTAATTAAAAAAAGATAGTACTTGGATTACTTACATTTCAGAAGCTCCACTTATTGATAATTCCAGCACCTCCAAATACAGAACAGGCCCATGTTATTGGTGCGTAACAAAAATGTTGTGTAACAATGTTATTTTAATGTTGTGTTTTTCACCACATAAGAATTGTTATAGCCATGAGTCACATGAAACGTTTTGTATAAATCCTAAATACAGCATTTCTAAATACAGCATACATCCTAAATACAGCATTTCTAAATACAGCATACATCCTAAATACAGCATTTAAATATTGAGCATACTTGGTACTAGAAGGAAATGGTGTCACTGCAAATAAATGAAAGGAAGAACATTCCCATGCTCTTCATTTGTAGCTATATCTTTACATGGGGAGAACATACAGTACGAACACTTCATAGGTAGCACCCCACTCCAGAATCAAACCCAGGACTCCAGCCCCACGGCAGAAATGCTAACCATTGCACCACCATGCCACCCATAACATTTATCTAGGAAGTCAATTAATAGATATGTTCACTTCTTGTGAAGTGCAATCTAATTTTATTATTTACAAATTTCGATCTAAAAGAACATGCATCTGATGTAACGTTCAAACTGGTTCTTTAAAAGATGGGATGCTTTGTGCAATAGATGCTGCAAAAAGTAAATTATTTGTACATATTATCCCACAACATACATATTGAAGCAGTCAGTTGTGGTTTAAAGCAAGTGAGATACTAGAGAAATACATTTTCATACAACCAACTTTCACATAGTGAAATGTCATATCTGTTTTCTCGCCAAAGGCAAAACTGTATGTAACAACAATTTCTTGGATAGACTTCACTATATAGTAGGTGTATGGTTTTGTGTGAGATAAGTAATTTTTTTAACATAAGTGCATTGTTATGTAATAACTATGAAAACACTGTTTAAATATGCTTAGTAATTGCAATGACTTCCTCTTGCTTCCAAAAGGTAATACTGAATATCCAAAGCATTATTTCAACTTGAATTACTGCTGCCAAGGTGCACAAACGGAGAACCCACTTTTCAGAAGTGATTTTGGATTCATCAGAAATCTGTCCTCTTGCATATTTGTAATTTGATCGTACTAGACACGGTAGTTTTCAGAAGTTTTATTTTTCTGTCAAAACTTTGATGGAGGTTGAATGACAGAAACAAACAATCGAAAACGCTGAAAACACCTGAAGAAGGCTCCACAGCCAATACATTGTGTTTTCTTTCTTCTTTTTTCAGCAACGAATTAACCTATTACTTGTTACTCTACTGATATTGTTTGTCTCTAGGTCTACTCCTCTGTTTTTGGATAATTCTGTATAATTGGATAATGGATAATTTCTGTAACCAGAAATTTTAAAGTTGTACCATGTATAAAATAGAATTACACATAATTATACTGTTATGGTAATGACTAAGGAAATATACTGTAGCTCTGGGTTAAAGAGGGAGACTCACTGCATTTTAAATTTCATTTGTTCTTAAAGGATCACATAATTCTAATTTCTGTTTTTTTTCCTTTATACTTTCATTCTCATATTTAGAACTACACTTTTCTTTTAAAAATCATGTTGTACTGTTAATAAAATTATTTCTCATTTAAACAACTTTGTATACATTATATAATACCCAGACCTATGCCTTAGGTTCTTTCTTTAAGAGATCAAAAGACACCCACCACTACAATCAATAGACCTGTCAGGTAATCAATAGAATGAGAGCAGATAAGACTTCAGTTGATTGTTGATACCTTTCCACTACCTAGTGTAACCTTTGCTGTCGCTCCCTGAAACCCCTACATGTGAAATTATTATTCTTTTTTACCCTCCATAGTTTCAAAACAACATTATAAGGCTAATATTTTGAATTAATGAACAACATGTTATAAATGCAGGCTTCATGAATTTTATTATTTTAGGGTTTACATTTATGGATGACCTTTTATTTAGAGAAAGAGGAAGTTTCTTTAATGCAAATATGCAATCAAAATAACAGTAATGCAATGTGGGACTGTATTTGAAATTTTAAAACCTTGTGCTTGAAATTGTGCTTGAAAACTGAAAAGAGTCCTTATTATGACAGTGTTCATGGACACAAAGAGGATCTCTAATACTTTTTATCTTTTTAAATACAGCATCTTGTTCAATCAGACATTATGTTACTATGTACCTTACATAGAGTATACCTTTAAGTATTCTTTAATATAGCTTTAATATATATAAATAATATAAAGGACTATTTCCTGGTATTTGTTTGGTAAAGAACTTGCCACGTATATCTATAGCTTCCCCCCTTTGAACACTGAAGAAAAAGAAATACTTTATGAACTGAGTTTCAACCCATAAACTTCAGACTGAATGAAAAATTCAGACGGGCCAGATCAATGTAATATTTAGTACATAGGTAAGTGACTGGAGTCAATGTGAGTCTCATCTCACATCAACTGGCTCTCTTTATATTCCTGCCAATTTAATACAATGCATACAATTTTCACCCATTTTGCAAGTATTTTCACATTGTAATTAATGGGAAACAAAAAGACTTTAACTAGTAGTGATAATTAATAATGAATTAGAATAGTAGAACTAATTATTAAAGAAAAAATACAATGTTCATTACAGATACTTCAAATTATTAGATAAGAAATCATTTGAGCACAAGTACAAACAGTAGTTGGAGTTTATGTAGTAAGGGTTTAAAAAATCAATTCCTACAGTAGTAAATGATCACCTAAAATTGATTGTATTTCTGTTTGTAACTGACTAAATTAAAACCTAACTTGAGCAAGTAGTAAATTTGTAGCTGTTGTTCCTCATTCCCCAGCCCAGTTCAATTGAGTTGGGGTCAAAGTCTAAAGCAGCCGGGGATCACTCACAGAAACAAACACAGAGCCAGACTATGTTCTTCCCTCTCAGAGCTCTGTTTTCGTCATTTTTCTGTGACAGAACAGGACATACAGCACAGGCAGCACATCCCATACACCACAGGACTGATTCAGTCAAAAAAATATGAGAGAGTGCCAGGCCTTTTTTAACTGGGCCCAGGCGTCTGTGAGAAATGGAGTTTCCCTTTGTGGCCTGGGGTTATTCTCTGATTTTAGTGAGGAAAGTTACTGGACACATTTATAAACAAAATACTGTTGTATGTATATATACATATTGTACATCTGTACTGTTGCAAACATACAATAGGTAAGGTAAGGTTGACATTAACGCACACTGGGCACACATATAATGTTATTTATATTATAAGCAGTGAGAATACAGGATTATCAATTGTTTGAGTAGCATTGTTCCATGGGATAACAAAATAGTGAGCTAAGTCTGGTGATTTCAGAAACATACCAGGTTCACTATTGTGTTTAAGTTGTGTTAAAATTGCCCAAACAAACTGATTAAGAATATTTTTAAACAGCCATTCAAAAGAAATGATTTTAATGAAGGCAAGAACAGAAAAATATAGGATTATTCCCCAATGCAGTAACAAAGCTGATACAGGCATAATTAAAGGTGGCCTGTGTTTGAGAACTGGACCCAGAGATTGAGATGTTCTGCTTCAACAATTAATTAGTCCAGGGAAAGAGTAGTCATATCAGCCCAGGACTGTCGCATCTGTCTGATCCAACTTCATATTAATTTGCTGACTGTAATGGCTACAGCTCATGAAGTTTCACGCTGTCTGCATGAAAATGAATCTGAATTCTAAGGTAAAACAGGGTTCGCAGAAAGATGAAATTGCCATCTTTTACGGGCCTGAGGAGGTGGTGGTGGAGAGTTTTGGTGTGTTTTTTTTACCAGTGAAAGCCCCTGACAGAACTGATGAATGATGAGAATGGGTGTGGAGACTTCAATGGCGAGTGTCAGGCAGTGGACGTGTGATATGTGATGATGGGGAGAGGAATGTCCTTTAACAGTGGCACGCCTTTGGTTGCAGATTGACGAAAACCTTATTGCCTTGCAAGGACACTTTGATGAAGGCCTTAAAACAACAGCTCTCCCATTTCTGCAAGCCAGAAATGGCTGATCCAGCAGGACAATGCAAGACCACCCTGTTCTGGGTTTACAGTGGTGAGAATTTGAGAAACCGAGTCCAATAATGTAGTGGTTCTTAACTGTGGGCTTGAAAGACCCTTTTGTCTGCTGATTTTCATTCTAACTGGGCAATTAAGCACTAGTGCTAACAGAGGCAAGTGATCTGTTTTCTTGTTTAAAATTCCTCCTCCACTTAGTCCTTGACTTCAAAAAAGAAAAAGCATAATATTTGCAACATTATACTATCACCTCTCAACTTGCTAAGAATTTGCTCCCTTTTTGCAAAGCTCTTAATAGGCAACTGGTGTATGATGAACACACACAGCTGGAAATGATGTACATCAAGTAATCAAACACCCCAACAATGAATATTTATTTCCTTCTGCTTAAGCTCACTTGGGTACTTAACAGCTAACACCCCTGGATGAGGGGAGATGTGGAAGGAGAAACAGATGACAGAATAAATAAAGCAGAAAATCACCCATGAGACCACCTTACTAACGCCATCAAAAACAGACAGCTTCAACTGCTTAAATTAGATACAGCTGCACAAGAAGAGCGCTGGATTATCCTACAGCAGACTACCTTGGAGCAGATCAAGTCGATATGTATGCAAATCAGGGCTGTGATAATGCTCAGTGAGGTTATACCACTATGACTTGGATGTTTTGTACCCTCGCCAGGTGTTTACCAGGAAGTATATGAGTGGAATGATATACAACAGGCAAGCACAGTGGTGTAGTGGTTAACATTACTGCCAATGGTACTGGGGCTGGGTTCAATTCCCAACCTGAGGCAAAAGCTGTGTGGAGTTTGTCGGTTCTTTGCTTTGTTCTTGTGGCTTTCCTCCCCCAGTTCAAAGACATACTGGTAGGTGAATTGGTCTGTGTGTGTCTGTTTCTGTGTGTGCTCTGTGGCATGTACAGGGTGCATTCTGCCTTGTGTCTGGCCAGGCACTGACTCCTGCATGACCCTCATTTTGAAGAAGCAGCTAGAAAACGGATGGATTGATATACAATATGTTTAAAATATTTGCTAAGGTCCAATGGACCTTCTTGTTGTATATCAGTATACAACCCACGTGTAACAACAGTGGGAAGCTTAGAAGTTGGCAGTTTATTAAATATTCACTTTTTGTTTTTTCATGATATTTTAAGTTTTTTAATCTCTGATTAAACTGGCAATTACAGTGTTTCTTATCCTGCATGGTTGTCAATTATTGGTTATCGTTTTACCCCCGGTTTAGTTTAGAAAACCACGAACTGAATGACTGTATCAAGGCGTTTAAAACGTCAATCCTAAATTTCGTAACCTTTGTCCTCAGTCCACCACAAGATGGCGCCATCAACATTTTACCGACATCCACCTATTTGCAATAAGGGTTTAGTGCAAAGTCTGATACAGTATCAAGGAGAGTCCTTGCTCTGTGGCAGGGAAGCGGAGCACCTGCACAACCGTAGAGAGAACATGAAAATTTGCCCAGGAGCTTGAATCGAAGCCAGGACCCATAACTGTGAGGCTGCGCGCTTACCTTCACAACCCTATACTGACCATTCAACGCGCATACACTTCTCATTTTCTGCCTCAAAGTACTGTACCTTTGAATTTTCTACCCTGCCTTTCAGCAGGTGAAATGCAACAAAAGTACCACACAGCAGAATTTTTATTCTTCTGTGTTTACCCAAGTCAGCAGTCTTAATTCCCATAGGGTGCTCTAGTTTGTTTCAGTTCAGCTCCTTATACGATAAAATGAAATTACCTGCAAACGGATTTTCCCCTCGTCTTCTTGAATGCTTAACATCTGACTACTTTAAAACAAGAGGAGCAAGAAAACATCGCTGACACATTTCCTCCTTATATTGGTTGAGCCTTTTCCGGATTGTGTTTTTGGTTAACAGCCAAAACTATGCGTTTCTCCTTCCTATTTTGTCGGAGTGGAATTAACCTTTATTTGATCCTTTGCAGCCAACGCACGATGACGCAGCTCCAGTATTTGATATGTTTGATTCATCTGACCCTAGGAAGGCTGAGATGGAAACTGAATCATAACAACTAGATTCAAATGCACCTGAAAAGAAGACTCTGAGGGCTCTGTTGTATACAGTATGTTGTTCAGTAAATGGCACACTTACATAAGTAACTGGAATGCCATAATGATAAGTAATTGCATATTCTGGTGTGCAGTCACGCTAAGATCATATAATCACAATCTTGGGTTGTTTTATCCTAGATAGACTAATATTATTTTCAACCATCCAGGTTCACATCAGCACCACCCAACAAATACCCTACCCAGAATTCTGCAAAATCTTTTGTGACACAAGGCAAAATGAGAATTAAGTCATCTTTAACATCATAAAAATTAAGAGGGGTCATAGAACTAGAACCACGTAGAACTGCACACATTGTACTTTCTGATTCATACATTATTTAAATAAAAGAATATAGTTTGTGAAGCATAAGTGCATTGATACCAATAGGAATGTGCTCAGTACTGGTTTATATCCATTTCTTTTAAATCCTTATTTGACATGCCTAATACTTTATACTTTATGTTTAAGGTATCAATTACTGTAAAATCACCCAGAACAAAGCATCCACTTTGTCAGTAAAACTATTAAACTGCTTCATTTAAAATTAATGGCTGCAAGGGGTTCACAAAGCACACTTAATACAATATGAATGTCCATGGCAAGTTGAAATATGACACGCAAATCGGTTATTCTTATTAGTCACTAATAGTTACACATGTTAAATTCCATGTTTAAGGTTTGTCAGAAGCAACTGTGAATTCCATGATACACTGAGACACAGAAAAAGTTTAATTCAATAAATATTTATTATAATTATTGCAAAAACAAAATAATTCCTAATATATTCTATAGAATTGATCAAATTGAGTTTTAAATATTTTTTTTTCCCATCTCGATCCCAATATGAGAAACTAAAATAAAAATATCTTCTCTTTCAGCAGCTAGTGCCCGTGGTGAGAGGGCAGCTCTGCCTAATAACTCCACAGCATTTCTTATAGAACATAATTTAAAATGAAATGCCAAAACGTCCATTACGTGATACAGTATAAAGAATTAAGAAATATTTCTGTCTGAGCTCTTGCGAAATTGCAACACATTTATCATGTTGACCTTCATCTTAACAATGGCCTTCAGTTACTGAGTAACTGCAGCTTTCTGACTACAATGATGAGCTCTTTCAAGTTACAGCATAACTGCACAATTATAACTATGCATTGTGATGATGTCTGCAAACATTGTATGTCAAGGCAATGGAAGATAGTGACACAGTGGCTCTACTCCAGCTCCTTGCCATCAGACTAATAACAAATGATAAGCTGCATACGCTAAAGTCATGCTAAGACCACATTTTAAATGTGACTTTAAGTGATTACAACAAACCATGCTGCCTTGTTTAAAGCAATCAAGTTTTAGTAGCTTTGTTCTTCATTACCTGTTTAACAGAAAATATCTAATCTGCTCCTTAACCTTAGCTATAATAAGTCTTTTCCCATTGTGTTTTATGCTTTACTAATCAATATAATCAATAATATCTCTGACTTGTTGTTCTGAAGACATTTTTATCACCCAAATCTAAAGGAATGCTCACCATGTTCTTCATGTGTATTGAATGTATGGCTTTGCTTAGCAATTTTCAGGAGCATAAACCACAATGCAATAAAGAATGTCAATTCAGGATGAATGGGAATAAGCTGGGTCTGTCAGTATTATAATAATAATAATAATAATAATTACACTTATATAGCACTTTTCTGGACACTCCACTCAAAGCGCTTTACAGGTAATGGGGATCCCTTCCACCACCACCAATGTGCAGCCCCACCTGGATGATGCGACAGCAGCCATAGTGCGCCATGGCTGTCCAGGCTCACCCCTGCTTAGCTTCGTGGGTTGCCAGTTGTGAGTTGCAGGGTGATATGGCTGTATTTTAGTGTAGTCTCAATGTCAATGAGTAGCAAAGGTTAAGGAGTTAATAAAACCTGATCTTGTTAGGCAACATAAGATAAAAAGATAAGGTTGTGTTACAAATTGATGGCGCAAATATTCAAAGACATCCCTTAAAATCAGACAAATGATTAGGGATATAGCACTTAGTACTTTACATGATAAGACCTGTATTTTACACCTTACTATTGCAATGCTTATCTTTAAAGTGAAATATGCATAGTAGTAAAAAGAAAAGAAAAACTACCTATTGTTTTCCAGACTTTAAATTGGTAGCTTCAGAATATAAACCTCAAGGATAATAACGGGCTTGGATCAAACCAAACAATCTACAATCTGCATTGTGAAGCATTATTTGAAGCAGACAAGCAGGGTTTAGAGAATGGCCATCAAAGTTCAGGCATGAGTCTCAGTTAAGTTTCATGTACAGAGTGGCTATTAAGTGACTACATGTATGTAATTTCTCCTTAAGTCCCACACCTTAGGCCATACTAAACACATTGAACACACCACTAGAGTCTGCAGATGTTTTTCACTATGGGGTGCAGCTTTGTTCTCCTAGAACTGAGATCACAGAGCTATCAGGCTTGTCAGATGACCTGAGAAAATGTCCCCAAACAGACATTCTGTCCAGGATTACATCATGTCCATGTAGTTCTACAGCAATTATTGTATTATAGGAGCAGCTTTATATGGCTTTCTTTATGACAAGGTGTCTCAAAGAGTTTCTAGGATTCATGTCACCCAATGACCTTTCTTAATAACCATCCATAAGACCAAGTCTACCATATATTAAAGTGCTTGGAAGCTATTATTAACAACGCCAACTGATAATATAAACATACTACAAGGAGTAAACCTCAGCAAAACGTTAGTGTACATTTTCAGTGCTTAAGTAACACTAAACATTTTATCATTCTCTTGTTAGGGAAACGGTTCTGCTTGACGTTCAGAAGAAAGCTATTTTAAGAACTGTTATGTTTGCCAGACTTCACACACACCATGTTAATGCAGGCTTCCTCAGTGTATGGATGCAGGAAATACACTTGTCATCAGCGCACGTGTGAGCACTGAGGCTTATTATGGTTGGAGCGTTCAGGTCAGAAAGGATGAGGGAACATTTTAATCCCTCAGTATTTAAGAATGATACTGAAGCCATGTGGAGTAAATTACTCTCCCTCCAGAACAGAACTTCCAAAACAAACGTCCCACCATTGCTTTCCTTTAGATGAGGACTTAATCACACTGCGGATATTTCAAATCACACAAGAACACATGTTCACAAATAGGAGGTTTTACCCCATGGGGTAGGCCAAATACAAAAAAACAAGATATAGTACCTGACTTGTCTCAGTAACCCTTACATTAATATGGCTGTTTCAAGCTGATCATATGGCGAGCAGGAGTGTGACCTGCTGGTAAGAGAACAGCTGCCAAATTCAGTTCCACATGTGGGTGAACTGCAGGGCACATTAGGCGGAGCTGTGATGTCATTGTGACTCACGTTGGAGGTCACGAATATGATGAAAGATGTAAGACTGTAGGCCTCAATCACAAAAGACAGTGTGCACCATAGCTAGTAATATGCCCGTGGATATAATGCACTTTACCACATAAAGACATTATGTGAGTCTTGTTTTTGTTGCCGTTGCGAAGCTACTGCATGAAGGGCTGTTCTTTTTCACAATGGAAGGCTCCAGGCCGGAATGCATTACCCAAATAGTGATCGATGTTTGTACAGATCTGGAATTGATGTTGAATGTTCTGATGTGGAATGGAAGAACAAGGTGGAGCCTGCAGGCCCGGGCTTTGGCTGTCCTCTATTTAAAGGAGGCATAGACTTTTCTGCCATTGAGAGGCTGAGGGGGCCTGAAGTTATCTACCATGCGCTGCCTCTCCTCTTCTTCAGATGTGAACAGCAGCATTCTGAACTTTTCCATCTGTGGAGAGAAAGAAGGCATGTGTCTACTGAGCACCAGAAGAAACATTTGACTTTGTATTTTAAATGAAACATACATATTTTGGGTAAATCAGTTGTAATATGTAACGCAAATTACATTTCACAAAGTGGCATCATTTTGATTAATTGATCATTTGTGATACAACACATTTATTTTGACTGTTGCATAAGCACTAGATCACCTCATTAGTGAGAGAGTGGAGAGAGCTCATGTGATGAGGTTTTTTAACCTGTTTTATGTCAAGCCTGGTGAAAGTCAAGAAAGAAAAACATAGAACAAAGTTGAAATGCCCTCCTTATCAAAACAACAATGACTTAATGCCATTGGCCTACTGGAGCAAAACCTCAGGTAGACTCAACAGTTAGTGGAACCAAGTCAGTTTTGGTGATGGATCAAGGTGTTGTAGAAACTGTGGAACAGAATGATATGCCATTTGTTGGTAAAAACAGATTAAACAGATTATTTAAAGTTTTAACTAAGGAAGTGAGTGAAAGCCTCAAGCAATTTTAATTAAATTTGGAAACAGCAACAACTCCAAATAAGAATAACACCAACAATTCCATCTCAAAAACACAAGGAGCTTGTCACAGCTAAAGGCAGGCATGCTGGTCTTTGCACTTTTGTTGGCAAGACACTTGATCCTTCTCAGTCAGAAGATGGATGTCCCACCATCTAAAATAAATTTGATCAAAGAGACTATGATTTCTTTGTGTCTGGAAATAATAAAATATCCAATGAGATTTATACAGTGTGCCATGTTGTCCTTTTTGATTACTATCAGCACTCCAGTCTACAGTAAGCTGTCTATGTGAATTGGTTTCCCTCATTTCTCTTTATGCAGTGTAGATCCTACTATGATATGGATATGGGTAATCAATAAGTCCATTATTAGAAGCCATTATAAAGCACTTTTCTTGTCCTCAAATAGAAAAGCACTGTATAATAAATGTCAACAGGTTGTTGACAACTATCAACAGCACTTGAGTTCAAGTCTATTCTGCTTCACAAAACAACCCAAGCCAAATTCTAAATGCAAATACCACGGATGATTAATATTTAACATGTAAGGAGCAGAGATCTCAGAAAATGAGGAATCAGAATCGTCTTGTACTATTTCATCTTTGAACATCAAAACAGTCATAAAAGTGCTTGTGCAATCTGATTCCTGGAAAACATTTTTGCTTAAGTATCAAGAAATCAGAAGATTGGAGCAGGGAGGATTTAGGCATGGAACCTGTCCAAGACTTACAAGAAACAAATCCACACAGCTAATTTTGAGTCAGGCAACAGAAAACTTTACCTATCACACAAAGTAATGTACAGTATATCAAGCAAACATGTATATTGAAATCCTGATAGATTTTTGCCAACCCAAGGTGAAGAGCTGTAGAGAAGAGCAGGTATTAAAGAAACGTCTTATAGATACCACAGTATAAGGTATTCGCTAATAATGGTACAAATGTTTGCAGAAGGATATGCCACTTCTAACATTCACCGCCTCTGACATATATTGTTGATATGGGACTGTAACTCCATAATTCATATAGTTTTAATAGTCCATTAAACAGCATTACCAAAAAGGACTTCATAGACTATAGTGAGTCCGGAGTGCCTGTAACAGTCATAGGAATATATAAACCTCAAGATGTTAATTAGATTACAGTACATCCACAAGTCCATTAGTCGCAATTACATTTTAGAAAAGAAAGCACTCTGAACCTGCAGCTCTCAGAATCTGATTTGCAAGGGTAGCATTTTACTGTGCTCTCCATGAACTGTAAACAGACATCTCAAAGAGAATTCTGTTTTCCCCCCCATATAATAAGAATCTTGAAAAGAACATCTCTGTGGGTTGCAAACAGGTTTCAATGAAATTAACTGTCTTGGCAGATTTTGAATTTTTATCAAGGGCATTTCGCATTCTAAATTAAACAAGTCCTCATCTGTTTTCAAGAAAGTATAAATTTGAAATGAGACTGTTCAGTGTTACTAATTTGAATAAACCTTTTTAATTAAAACGTATAGATATTCTAATTAAACTACAGATCAATAATTGTACAAGAATAAACAAAATATATGAAAAACGTATTTTTTATTAAAGTTCATGTCCCTGTTCACGTAATGTGCATTTTGTCAGTGCTGTAGCCTCTATCTTGTGTGCAAGATTGCAGAGCTTAGTTGCCGTGTGTGTAAAATCCAGGTTGGTGTTCCTTAAAATGATCGAGGTGCCCACCTGTTTCTCCGAAACGTGGATGGGCTCTTTGAGGACAATCCAGGTGACACTCTCATACAGTGGAGGTGTGGTGAGTGAGCCAGGGTATGTCCAGAAGTTAAGACTGTTTGGCAGAAGGCACTTAGGATTAAAGCCCTTGAATCCTGCAGCTGTTCCCTGAGAAACATAGAAATCCAATCAGATTTTTTGTCTCTGAGTAACAGAATAATGCATTTAGCAGCAGAAAGGAATTCAGAAGGACGAGAAGAAAAAAGAGAAGGTATAAACCTCATTTACATGTAAGAGAAAGCACCTACCTTAAACCTGACCATATATAAAGCATCAGTTAGCTTGTTTAAACTTCTGTGTTCATTCCCAGTCTGAAACAAACAGAAATAAAACCATTAATTCAGAAGGCTCTTTCGCGGTCTCAGTATACATGCAACACATAGCTCCACCTGCTACAGTACAGCCAGAACAGCTCATCCGGCTCATGCAAAGAGAATAAATTAGGGCACTTCCCAGCAACCTCTCCCCCCACCCACCTCCCTGTCAGTGAAGACAATGTGCTTCTCACCTCTAAGAAAATGCCAAGGACAGCCAAACCATCAGGGGCTGATGCTGCCTCCCCGAACGACTTATATTTGGCAGCATTCCAGTGAACTAGATGAAGCTGTGGAGCGAAACGCCACAAATGGGTTAGGAAGGAAGCGTTTTAGAAACAAATAGGTTCAGTGCATTTTAATTGTGTGTAATAAACGAGAAGAAAAACCATATTGCGTGCTGTGAGAATTCTGTAAGATGATGCTTTATTAATACAGTAGGATAATTTTGGGGGATAGGAAAGTGCATCTCTGAAATTGTTTTTTATGCTGTAGATCCCATGTAGAACAGTTGTTCTGCTGTAGTTTATTTCCAGGTCCATTCGTTGCTCTCACCTCAGAGACGTAGGACTTGCCGTTGACAGTGTGCTCGGAGCCATGACTGCCCTTCCCCCCCCAGTGGAAGTGGAACTGCTTCAGTCTGTAGGGGGCATCCAGGGGACCTCCTTTGATCACTGCCAAGACAAATCACAAAGCTGTCCTGTCATTCTTTCGCTCAGCGACAGATAGCACAATAACAATTCAGGGAATCATCAGCAGGAAGGAAGGGTGGCTCAATGCTTAGCATTGCTGCCTCACTGTCCTGGGGCCCCGAGTTCAATTCCTGGGGTGTCATCTGTGTGGATTTTCTGTGTTCTCACTCTGTTTGCATTGGTTTCTTCCAGTTGCTCTGCTTTCGTCCCACAATCCCAAGACATGCTGGTAGGTTAATTGGCTTCTGGGAAAATGGGTCCTGGTCTGAGTGTGTGTGTCTGTGCCTGCCCTGTGATGGCCTCGCCCAGGGTGTATCCTATCTTGTGCCCATTGCTTACTGGGATAGGCTCTGGCTCCCCTGCCACACTGAATTGAAAGAAGCGGTCAGGAAATCGATGGATGGAATCATTATCATGCAGGGGAGTTTTTCTATGGGTTCATTTCAAAGATTCATCACGGTACTCACCGTGTTCAAATAATTATACAAAAAGGTCTCCTTGGAGTCCTCCTAGTCAGCATTTGCAAAGTTTATCTGACAAAAATATTTCAGTATCAACTTACCTTAGTATTTGCACCCTGAAATTGTTTTTCAAGCTCATTGGAAGTATCTTTATAGTTTGGCACAATGATCAACACCAGACAGTCAAGAGAACAACGGAAAGGCAAACGGTCAAAGATCCAAGTACAAGACTGAACATCTTAGACACCTGATCTAAATTCCATTCAAACGCAATGGTTGGCCCTAATGGATACTGGGTTCTCAAGACACACAGCAATCGAAAGGGAATCAAATTAGATTATTCTTTATTGCCACACAACAATAGCTGGTGGAACTTGTTATTGGTACAGCAAGAGCACAGATGAGAAATACAAACAACATATACAGTACAGTATAAATTGAAATAAGACAGAAGACAGATAAACATCACATACATCACATCGCCACATACATATGTAAACAATCACTTCTATTAGACAAAAAAAGCCATGACAAGTATCACTTAGTCCATCGATAGCTCATATAAAAAGTATTATAAAAACTAATATGGACACAGTCAGTAGTAATCTACAGTAAGTCCTTGTGGATGTGCATTGTTTTACTTCATTTAAAAAATATAGCTAATAGTTTTATTAATAGATCTTTTCAGTTAATGTTTTAACAGAATATAATTTTTATGACTGAGTTATTTTAAACAGGTAATACAGAAAGCATGAAGCAGCAAGCTGACACTGAAATCAAGGCCTGCAGAGTTGCCAGCTATTCAACTGCATTTCAAGACTTTTGAGGACATATGTGTGGAATCAGACCAAACCCTCCTGTAAAATACGCCAACACTCTAACATAAGAAAAACCTAGAGTAATCTGCATGCTGGAAGAAAGGTAATAAATAAGATGAGGCCCATCTATCCCATCTGATAGTTAATTGATCCAAGGTTTTCATCCATCTGTCTCTTAAAAGAAGCCAGAGTATTGACTTCAACAACATGGCTCAGAAGCTTTTTCATAACTCCCAACATGCAAAACACTGTTGTTGCTGAAATAAACAAACTGTAGAAGCCAGTATTACCTTATTTAAGGAAAAATACTTCCATACCAAATCAAGACCTTTCAGTGATACGTCTGAACGTCTGATTTTTTATACAGCAGCAACTTAACTTAGCAAACCATGTCAAGACCAGCACTGGTAGCAAGCTTGATCATTCAATTTATCAAAATGTATTACTTTGATATCAAAGCTTACATTAGAAATTTCAAAGCTCTTAGCTCAGTTTCAGCTAAAACCATCTTGTGTTTTAAGTCTGCTCTTCCAGGGACAGGGATTATAGGGTCCAGTTTCACATACATATGTCAGAAGACACAGTCATAGAGCACAGGAAGGCATCATAGACAGCCATGGAGGGGACAGTGTCTATTGGAGACCCATAACCTTCTCCAGCTCTAGACCCTACGTAATCTTTGCTCAATGAAATTGACGCATGCAAAAAATTTCAATGGTTTTCAATCTTTTCCAGAAACAAGCAGGTCTTATGATTCCTTGCAAACATAGTCTTGTTTAAAATAATATGTATTACAATAATTGATCTTAAAATAGTGTGCTTTATTATGCAGCATGCAAAATGACCAGCCATGTAATTTGAATCCAGTATTAAGAGTGGTTTTGCTAGTTCCTGTTCAAGGCTTAGAATTTGCCTGAACATGCAAATTGTCTGTCTTCTGAACCTGATGATGAAGATTACTGAAATGTGTAATTTCACTGCAATGTAGCAGCAAAGGCATTTGTTTTTTTAAGAAGCCATTAATAAAAATAAATAAATAAGAAAATAAATAAATTGGGTTTAATCACTTATGTAATGCTTTTTCCTTTTTTAATCAGAAGTTTGGTGTTGTAGATAAAAAGGTAAACAAAGGGACGTGTTACTTCAATTATTGTTGATGTAATGTAAAACACTTTCAGAAAATGCTGTAGTAATTAATATACATGATCAATCCAACTTTCTAGCCCAATCACTTCAGATCTAATTAACGTAGCCAGGCTGCACCGGTTATTACTGGGATGGGTGTATAGCCAGCTTGCTGCTGTACTGGTGTAGATGCTAAACTAAGCTCCTTATTTCTTGATCAGTGAAGATCCCCTGGCACTGATTTTAAGGGTGGAGGTGTTAACACCAGTGAGTTGACTATACTCCACTTTGCGCAGTATGGCCTCCCTGCAAGTCCCCTTTTAATTCAGTTGGTGAAGCAATTTCTCATTTCTCCATCTGATCTGCTGTGTAATGAGGCCACTGATACAGGATGGTGCCCAATCATGTGGGTCCTGCAGTTCAGTGCTGGCAGGTCCCCTCGTTTGGAAAAAACACTTTGGCATCCTTTGGAATGAAGCTATATAAATGTAATGAATTATTATTAATAAGTTATCATATTTTCAGGTACATAATTAGTGGAACAAACAATAGATTCTGTATATATGACGTATTATATTCTGAAAAGTGAATATAACATTTCATCCAATTAATAAAAAATCATCAAACCATGGCCATTAGGATGGGGCATATCTGTGTTTTGACTAGCTAGTCCCCTTTTCCTTTTCTGAGTCTACCCCCCACTCATAGTGCACTAATGTGGTCACGGTTCTATGGTTCTGCTGAAAAAGGGTTATGCAAAGTCATGCACTCAGTAAGCAAATAAAGTTCCTTGTACGCAAAAATTGGCGAACCATGCTTACCATGTGTGAAGACTTTCTTTACATATACAGAAGACTAAATCGGTATAAGGAGAAGTGTTCTTGCACTAAATTCAAAATTGTAAAATGAACACTCTTTTTATTCATTTGATATGGTATTGAGATAGATATAATCATTCAGTGAATTTGTATTTCAGAAGCACAGCTTTTGAGATGGTCTTAAAAATTCCGTAAAAAAGAATTTTGACGTTTTTAAACTATAGCTCTTTTTTACTTTTCTCTCAGCTCAACAATAGTTATACAATTTATAGGCTTTGGATATTTACAAAAGCACCTGTAGGAGTAAAGTTGACATCCACGGTCTTATGCTACTATGGTAACGGTTTTAATCATTATTTCCATGATACACAATGTCCTGGACACTGGACTCAAAATTAGTATTATCATAAGGTTACCTTATGTGGGTTGCATGTGGGATGGATGTGAGTTGAATTTGGATTCTGTTCTGTTTTATGTTGAGCAGATGTTCAATAGGTGCTTCTACCTTCTATCATTCTTTATGGCACAATCTGACATGTAAAACTCACCAGTTTTGTCATCCACATCCTCAAACTCCACCACTACAGAGTGCCCATTGTTTGAGATGTTGAGGGACGTACAACTGTCATAGGACACAGTCAGAGAGGAGAGCCTTGCATCATAGACAGCCTCTGAAGAGACGATGTCTATTGGAGACTGCCGTTTCCCCATGGCAATAGGATAGTCCCTGTGCCATTCAGAGGGACCTAAATGAGAAATTAAAGTATCATTCTTTTACTTTTACATCAAGAGGATCAATAAAGAACAGAAAAATGTTAACAATACGATTGAGAACAGTGCACCATTCACTCCTGTTCTTAGACATTATTGAAGTTTCATCTATCTTTAAGCTGTTTTATAGTTTTAATGATCCCCTTTTTGACTGTTGGACCATGGTGTTGATCTTGACAGCCTACTGTGTAATTACTGTGAAGCTTCTATTATCAATCATGATCAGGATTGGATAAATGTCCAACTGAGAAACGGGTATGTATTTAACTTATTTAGGCAACATCCTCTTGAAAGGTCACATTGAAAATGCCTGTGTTGTTAAAATGGATCACCTTCCTCACTTAAATTTATTTTTGCCGCTATCATTAGGTTTTCTTAGTCTGTGCATTTTAATAACAGCAAAAGGAAACATTGACTTGTCCATCCATAGTTGTAAAAGGTATTTATGGAGCATAGCAAAAAATAGATAAAAGTACATGTTAATGGACAGATATACTAGAAATGCAACTGCTAGTTTCTTCATAACACTAGAAGACAATGCAGGATAGAAGACGTGTTTAGTTATCTTCCACCTTCTCATAGAAGTGTTACAATATATTTTTAAGTGAGACAATGAGAAGCGTTTACTTGCATTAGCGATCGCATCAAGAACATACATTATAGGGACTTATCAAACTTCTTGTTATTAGTTGTTATTATTTAGTGTCCAATTTTTTTTACAGCTATCATTTTAAATATTGAACCACGTGTTAGAACAAATATTGCCTCGGCACACTTATGCAATGTTAAGAGTCTTTCGGTCTGATTCGTTTGTCTTCAGCGCGGTCTGCTTTGACGTTTTAATTTTAGCATAAAAGTATCCCTACCCCCACAGAGGTTCTCCTGAGATTTTCAAGCTTGATAGGACATCATTGAGTTATCCCTTGAGAAGAACTGGGCTAATCTAGCATTAACTGTTACCTTAAGAAAAAAATAGATTAAATGTCACCTCAAGGTTTCAGTAGGAAGCTAATTTTAAAACGGATTTACTTGTCAGGCTACTGTTTTGTATTAGGGATTGCAGTTACACAGTATTCAGTTCAGGTATTTGCGGTTTGCAGCGACTATAGGTACAATCAAAACACCAAGGCTTGAAAATGTTTTTTTTTAATAAGAATAGTATCGAATAGAAAAGCGTGTGTCATTGCATTTTGTGATGAATCGTATTGTCAAGAACGCGTGAAAGCATAAGCTAATTAATCCGATAACAAGAATTCCTATTGAGTGGATGGAGGGATGCAACATGCCGATATTGTCGCTGATGTTACTCACCGTTTTCCTCTCCATATCCCCAGTGATGGCCAGTCATTTTGGTAATCCCTCTAGATTTCCCAAATCAGAGGCGACGTTCACATATAACTAAAGGCTTTTACAACGTTACGTCTGTGGGATAAGGCTGTGGGATAAAGCTGGAGATAAATGAGGTGTCCCTGTTTTGAGCAGGTTTTTAAAGGCACGGTGCTGATGAAGTTTCAGAGGTGTGGAGTCAGGCTCAGCGAATGAGGACTGTAAAGATCCTTCACTCCGCCCCTCGAAGATACCCTCACAGCTAAGAAGCGATGCTCCTTTTCTCAATTTTTTGTTCATTATCGTGATGCTCTGGTTCGAAAATGTAAAGACTGACCTCCGCGCGTCCTCTTCAGCGCCATACGAGGAATTTCTGAAGATTTCAAACCACAGCTTGGTTAAATTTACTGCTGCAGATGCGCATTGTGTCAGCTTTATCAAAAACGCGACATAGGACATAAAGTTGCTCAGACCTTCTAGACAAATCTATTTAATTTACCGTAGCAGCCTCGGTGTGTATAGCTGTATGTTACAGACATAATGTTAAACATCGGAACTGCTGTAGATTCTTGCAGTTTCTGGTCATTCAAAATCCTCCATATACAACGTAAGTGTGACAGCTCGGTCAAAATCAATGTCAAATGTCACACGATATCTTCATTCATAACTTGGAAGACTGTATTCTCAACCTTATCTTACCGCATCTGCTATGCCATACTGATAAATATATATTGTACTCTAAATCAACGTTCTTATCAAGCACAATATAAATCAAGCAAATTACAAATTACAATATTACTCTTTTTTTAGTTCTTTTACTGCTGTTGTTGCAAGATAACTGTAGTAACTGTATAACTGTAACCTAACTACGGTTACTAAAACTTTTTATTGTCTTTCTCAGAAAATGGGTGTAAATGATTACTGGCACATGATTTAGTTTGTCTGTAGGATACATGGAAAATCCTAGCTTGTTTTTAGGAGGCTCAGTTGAGTTAGTGCAGGTTTTACACGGTTCTTGGGTGCTGAGTTCAAAAGTAGGACAACGTCTGTGTGGAGTTCTCATGTTCTCTTTGTGTGGGGAAGTGCTTTGGCTTTAGAATCAGTATTTCCTTTTCAGTAACAGAATATATATATATATATTCTATATATACTTTATTTGCATCATAATGGCACTTTTTATGTCAATCATTGGGAAACTAAGCACATGGAGACTCAAAACAGATTCTACAAGCTGCCTTACAACTGATTCCTATTAACAAATCTTGCTGTTGAATATATATGTAGTGAACTGCTGATGCCTATACAGTGATTCTCTGTTCATTTTTGCAATTAATGGGTAAACTGGGACTAATTGAAGAGGGGCCAGCAGTGGGCGCTCACCCTGTGGTCCATGTGGATCCTACTGCCCCAGTACAGTGACGGGGACACTATACTGTAAACAGGCGCTGTCCTTCGGATGAGACGTAAAACCGAGGTCCTGACTCTCTGTGGTCATTAAAAATCCCAGGGCGTTTCTCGAATAGTGTTGGGGTGTAACCCCGGCGTCCTGGTCAAATTTCCCATTGGCCCTTACCAATCATGGCCTCTTAATAACCCCCCTCTATGAACTGGCTACATTACTTTGCTCTCCTCCCCACTGAGAGCTGGTGTGTAGGGAGCGTTCTGGTGCACTATGGCTGCCGTCGCATCACCCAGGTGGATGCTGCACATTGGTGGTGGTGGAGGGGATCCCCATTACCTGTAAAGCGCTTTGAGTGGAGTGTCCAGAAAAGTGCTATATAAGTGTAAGCAATTATTAATTATTATCAATTCTTTCAATTTTGTACTTTTTGGATAAGTGCTAATATTCAAGCAATCAGACATCCTTCTTAATTAGCTTTGACCAACTGGACAGCACTGAAAACCATTTACTCTAACCTCCTGCGTTCTTAAACTCACTCTGTGTTGAAAATAATTGGAATAGCACAACTTGGCCATGTACAAAATAAGGGATTTCCTATTGTTAATTATTATTAACTTAGAAGTCAATTATTAGAAGTCTTATTGATGTTTTTTGTTAAAAAAAGACCCTGATATGTTTTATCTAGCTATTGCTACAACTTGAATGCTCTTCCAGACCCAGTGAACTGAACTGAATTTCTTTGCTCTACTTCCTTCTCTCTCATAACGTATATGACCTCTTTATATTATGGATACATAACTAACTTTAGATTATTTTCTGATTTTAATTTGTGACCCAGTTTATGGCTTCATGTTTTCAGCTTTTTAAATGATTATTCTGCTTATGCTCCTTGCCTTTCTGTCACCAAGCTCCATGTTTTCTTCTCTTTAATGCTTCTCTATCACTGATTTATCCTCAAGGATTTGTAGAGCAAGAATTCAGTAAGAAAACATTACATTGTAGTTCAGAAGCAAAGCTCAAATGTGCAATTATTTAGCGTACACGTTATCTTTCTATTTGTACACTTACAGGTGAATATGTACCTCATTACCTGTGAAACAGTTTTGAGTAGAATTATTTCCATGTGCATTTTAGAGGTAAAGTCAAAGGATTTTTCTCCAATACATTTTATATAGCAATACTGATTTGTTGAAAAAGAGGAAGGGAAATTTATGACTCATAAAACACTTATTTTATGCAATGAACATGGAGCTGTGTGTGTTTCCCATTCGATATACTGTGTACTGTGTGCAGATAACATTTATAAATTATGTTAACTAACACATTTTCTTTCTAGAGCAATATAGTTTAGTGTGTTCAGAGAATTACCTGAGGTGATGGATGGCTGCAATCAAGTGGTAACTATCCTCTTTACTTTGTAATAAATGGCTATCAGTAATCAAAATTCTTCTCTACTGGTACTGGTTTTTACTTTTCCCACAGTTTTCCTGAGATATTTAGTATCACAGTGTTATTAAGTTTTGGCACTATACAAAACTTATGATAATATATACTTAAAAATAGAAATACATTGTAACATGCTTTAACGTTAGCCATTTCAATTACAATTGTAGAGGATCTCCCCCTGGCGGTACGATTTTTAACGAAACTGCAACAAACGAATACTTTTGTTATTTACCTTAAGCTTGGGTTGCGGGGTGTCGAATCTGCTATCTTGTACTTACGCTCAGGAAACGTGAGTTGTGCAAGCGATAATTATGGCTGAAGTCAATAAAGGAAAAGCAACGAAGGAGCAGAAATACGACCGACAGCTCAGGTAAGGTATCGAAGGCGTGACAAGCAATGTTTTTTTTTTAATCGAAACGGACTTTGAAAGCTTCTTTATCAGCATCGTGTCATGAGGCGTTTGTCTTTCAATACAAATATAGAAAATGATGCCGGTAGGCCCTTAGCACTGTAGACATTAGAATCGTTATTGAACGGTGAAAGTCAAGTTCATTCCAATGATTAAAAGAATACGCAAAGTGTAATCACTTCGATATAAATGCGTTTAAAGGATGATACGGTTTCTAGCGAAACAAAACTCTCTGATGGTCTAATCACTTATAATTAGCTATGCATTTATGGCTATCTCAGGTCTAAGCGCCAAATAGTTCTTATTCACTTTGAAATACACTCAACCTTCTTTTAGTTTTTTTTGGTCACATTTTACTTCTAAAAGGGACAAGTGAGATGTCGTTTGAGTTTGTTCGTGGCACATTCTTCTGCCCGTTTATTTAATAGTCTGGTAGAATTGCGGAAAACACCTGCAGCGAACTGCTGGTATTCTCGTGAAAGCACATAAATATGTGTTTGGGCAATATAAGTCGGTAGGCATTATATTGTTCAAACAAATCAAAACCTTGTAGCAAAGATTGTATTTGTATCATGTACAGTATTAATCAAAATAAGAGCATGTAAAGTGTGAAGCTGTAGAGCCAGGTTAGGTACGTGCTGAAAGATGATGGTGGATGTTCCCTACAGGAATTCAGTCTGACAGGCACTCTGCCGTCAAGTTGTAAATTGATGATAAGTTGATGTAGATATGAAATTTCCATTGTCGCTGTTATTAGGTTCACTGGTTAATAACTTGCCTAAATGTTTTTGACTGCAGCACTTCCAGTTTAAGAATTAAGATCTGGTTAGAGCAGGGTTTTTCGGTCTTCTCCTGACTTCAATGGGTACTTCTTTTTTATTTTATCATATGGACTCTTGGCTGCCTAATTGAACCAGTAATGTGTTTTGATCACACCTTTTTATTATCTTCAGTTGAAAAATTGCAGGTTTCAAGTTACTTAAGGATATCTCCAGATGAATAAAAAATATGGTGTCTTGGGGTTACAGGGACCTAGACTGGGGAGACCCTGGTTTGATCTGCTTTTCATCCTTAAGCAAGGTGCTTTACCCGACTAGAATAGTTGTTACAGTACCTTATTTTATATCAAATATTAAAATTCCTCCAAAAATCTATCGGACCTTTTGAAAGTCTCCATTGAGCTGTGTTTTGTTAGAAAGACACCAGGGGGTTGCAGGGGATGCTGTTTAATTGTGCTCACTCTTTCTGTCGAAGACTGTGGGGAGATCATGGTCAGGAAGCACTGGAAAACGCACATGTGTGTCTGATCAATGCCACCGCATCAGGGACAGAAATACTGAAGAATCTGGTGCTGCCAGGTAAGTGCTAAATGGATGGGTGTTTTACTTGCAAAGAAGAAAAAATACTGCTTTATTTTTCTGTTATAGAAAATTGTCAAATTGAATAGACTGTTGTGGGCTCAGTTACAAAACGTGATCTGCATTTTCTTGGAAGTGAATAGAACTAACAGGAAAACTTCATGCATTAGGAATTACAATACAAATAAAGTAGTCTTTCCTATAGCTTAGAATGGAGGTTAAGGTAGCCCTTAAATCTTGATCCTTTGTTATTTGATCAAGAAAAAGTTTGTTTTAAAACCTCATTTGTCGTTTAGGGAACCAGTACAAAGGCATTGAAGCACATGTATGTTGCTGCAGAGCTTGTAATATGTCAAAACATGAATGCCTTAATGGGTGGGGTCTGTCGGCTTTATCTCCTTGTGTGATTACAGAGTCATAATGACCCAGCTGCCAATCTCAAA